GTTTTGTCCTCCATACAATGCATCCCATGATCTGTTCAAACCAAAAAACATGTTCAGGCACTAGCCATGGGACTTGTGTGACAAATTAGTATGAACAAGTATAAGGAGAATTTCAAGTTCAGAAACTGAGTACATATCAAGAGGCAAAATGCCTTAAAACAAACAGTTCAAGGGGCCAATCTTGATGCTTACTCTTTTAACTTACCAAGTTGTACATCCATCACCATCCTCTCTCTCTCTCCCTCTCTCTCTCTCTCTAAAAGATTTGAATCTTGATACAAACTACACGTAAATAATCATACAGATTTATCAACGGGATGCGTATAAACAGAGTTTAGTAACAGAACAACAAGAACACAAATCAACCTCAGAAAATCACATTAACAGAATGTATTGAGTCGTGACTAATGATCTATTAGAAAATCAATACTAATCATAAACACCAATGAAACAACAAAACCAAACAACAAACAAAGGTTTTCACGCAAAGTCAAGAACCTTCACTTCAAAACGAAACCCTAAAACCAAAATCACTGCAAAAATAAAAAATAAACTTCGAAAGATTGAGAAAAAAAAAATCGCCAACAGTACAAAGTAAGAACGATTACACGAAACTTAAAAAAAAACCCTAACTGACAGACATTGACGAACGAGAAAACCCAACCCATTAGATCGATTTCAGGAGGGATTTCTAATTAAGATTTACACGAATTACATAAAATGAAACACTTACTAATTCAAAAACCTTGTCTTGGATTCTCGTTCTTAAAATCTTCGATCGAGAGAATTCGTCAAAGATTTAAAGGAAAATAAAAGAGAGAGAGAGAGAGAGAGAGAGAGAGAGAGAGAGAGAGAGAGAGAGAGAGAGAGAGAGAGAGAAAGAAAATTGGGAGAATGTTTAGAATGTGGAAACTGAAAATTGGAGAATGTTTAGAATTGTAACGGTTATATTTTCAAAACTCAAATCGAGAATCATACTTAGTTCGCCGGACCGATTTTGTAACGGTTATATTTTCAAAACTCAAATCGAGAATCATACTTAGAGAATCCACAAGTTTCAATTTCTTTTTTTTTTCTTTTGTAAAAAGGATCCAATTTTCATAACTATTTAGACCAACAAAGCTAAAAATAAATTGAGCATGGAGTTTAGTAATGGCCACATTTATCCGATACGAACTGTATCAAAATGCAATAACTGAAACTGAACAAAATTTCATAAATACCAGTATGAATCTTATATCTCTGGACTCGTATTGCATATATTCAAATAAAATAATCTAAAATTAATTTAAATATATGGAAAAAGAATTGGGCTAAATTCTCTAGTATTAATAATTAATGTTAAAGTCTTATTTAGTTTAGTTGAAAATGATTAATGGAAAAACCTTATTTAGTTTAATTGAAAATATCTAGAATTAAAAAATCAAATACATATACCAACAATAACGTTTAAATCAGCTAATATTTTTATAAAATCTTCATTTTCCTTTGAATTTGGGAACAAATGAATAATGCAGTGGACAAAATATTCAAACAAACAACTATAAAATCTAAAAATTTCCTATTTTGTTGGTTTTGGTACAATATCACAATAAATATAATGTCTATCTACTAAATCAAATTGCAATATGCTTTGCAAAGGTGATTAATATATATTTTCTACTCTGTGATTATAATAACTTTGAAACTTTAATCCTAGATTTCACATGTTAATTTTAAAAAAAAATGAATAGTAAGAGAAATTATAATACACAAATATAATGTAATGTTTAGTTTTTTTGTAAAAAACATACAAACTCATAGTGGTTTGTATACATTATCTTTACTGAGTAAATTTAGAGGTCACAAATGAATATTTATATCAGTCAATATAGAAAGTAAACTGGTTTAATTTATATACACACATATATATATATATATATTAATAATTAGTCAAAATTTGTATTATAATTTATATATATAGTATATTATGGGTGTAAAAACATATAACTATATCACAAAAAAATAAACACCCATGCTTTTTGAAAAAAAACAATTCCAATATATAATTTTATGTATGTAGAGTAGAATTGGAAATAAACCAAACCAGAAATAAACCAAAAAGCAGAATAGAATTTCAGATCAAAGCAAACCTTGATTTTAATGTGATAACCGAATCAGACAAACCAATCCGACGTGGATGATTCAAACTTTCTCATTGGTAGAATATTTTTGCCCATGTGGATATTCTAACGTGGCTTTATTTAGCCATTTTCATAAATACAAGTATGAATCTTATATCTCTGGACTCGTATTGCATATACTCAAATAAAATAATCTAAAATTAATTTAAATATATGGAAAAGAAATTGGGCTAAATTCTCTAGTATTAATAATTAATGTTAAAGTCTTATTTAGTTTAGTTGAAAATGATTAATGGAAAAACCTTATTTAGTTTAATTGAAAATATCTAGAATTAAAAAAAAATCAAATACATATACCAACAATAACGTCTAAATCAGCTAATATTTTTATAAAATCTTCAGTTTCCTTTGAATTTGGGAACAAATGAATAATGCAGTGGACAGAATATTCAAACAAACGGCTATAAAATCTAAACCTTTCCTATTTTGTTGGTTTTGGTACAATATCACACTAAATATAATGTCTATCTAATAAATCAAATCGCAATATGCTTTGCAAAGGTGATTAATATATATTTTCTACTCTGTGATTATAATAACTTTGAAATTTTAATCCTAGATTTCACATGTTAATTTTAAAAAAAAAATGAATAGTAAGAGAAATTATAATACACAAATATAATGTAATGTTTAGTTTTTTGTAAAAAACATACAAACTCATAGTGGTTTGTATACATTATCTTTACTGAGTAAATTTAGAGGTCACAAATGAATATTTATATCAGTCAATATAGAAAGTAAACTGGTTTCATTTATATATATATATATATATATATATTAATAATTAGTCAAAATTTGTATTATAATTCATATATATAGTATATTATGGGTGTAAAAACATATAACTATATCACAAAAAAATAAACACCCGTGCTTTTTGAAAAATACAATTTCAATATATAATTTTATGTATGTAGAGTAGAATTGGATAAATCAAACCAGAAATATACCAAAAAGCAGAATAGCATTTCAGATCAAAGCAAACCTTGATTTTAATGTGATAACCGAATCAGACAAACCAATCTGACGTGGATGATTCAAACTTTCTCATTGGTAGAATATTTTTGCCCATGTGGATATTCTAAGGTGGCTTTATTTAGCCCTTTTAATAGAGTATATATGATGATGTTTTAAGTGATAAGAAATCAGAAATAAACCAAACCAGAAATAAACCAAAAAGCAGAATAGAATTTCAAATCAAAGCAAACCTTGATTTTAATGTGATAACCGAATCAGACAAACCAATATGACGTGAATTATTCAAACTTTCTCACTGGTAGAATATTTTTGCCCATGTGGATATTTTAAGGTGACTTTATTTAACCTTTTTAATAGAGTATGATGTTTTAAGCAATGAAGAAATCATGTGTTTGTCTTAACCGATCATTTATGTAAAAGGAGGACTGTGAGAGCTGTACTAAACCCGTATACCAACTAAAACCCATTGATTAACGATACTGACTAGGCCTGGGCATTTTACCCGGACCCGAAGACCCGAACCGGAACCGACCCAAAAATACCCGACCCGAACCCGACCCGAAAATTTACAAGTACTTATTGGGTCTAAATTTCTTTTACCCGAATAGACCCGGACCCGAAAAGAACCGACCCGAATAGACCCGACCCGATGCCGATTTGTACCCGACTTATAAACATGTATATCCAAAACTATTATTTTTGTGTTATGTTTTATATATCTATACTATTTTATAATTTAGTTGAAATATATTTTGTTAACAATATTTATTATTATTTGTAACATTTTTAAGTAATATAAAGTTTTAAAATGTAAAATTTAGAGTTTAAAAATGTTTTCTTTAATTATTAATNCCAAAACTATTATTTTTGTGTTATGTTTTATATATCTATACTATTTTATAATTTAGTTGAAATATATTTTGTTAACAATATTTATTATTATTTGTAACATTTTTAAGTAATATAAAGTTTTAAAATGTAAAATTTAGAGTTTAAAAATGTTTTCTTTAATTATTAATAGTTTAAATTAAGTTATTTTATAAAATTTTAGGTATATATGAAAAATATTGATTGAATTTGAGTGAGTTTAAGCATATTATGTATTTTTAGATTCTAAATACCCGGACCCGATATGGATCCAAAAATTACGAGTATTTTATAGGTATTGGAATTAAAGACCCGGACCCGGCAAGACCCGACCCGGAACCGACCCGAAAAATCATAGGTACCTATATGGGTCTAAATTTCCAAGACCCGAAAAACCCGGACCCGACAGGACCCGGCCCGAACCCGACCCGAGGACCCGGATGCCCAGGCCTAATACTGACCAATCATTTATCTAAAAGAGCTAGGAATACGAGGGAATTGCCAAACCGGTCTAAACCAACTCAAATGGATTAGTTAACAAGAGTAGTAAACCAACTAAATCTGTATGACTAATCATACCTTTTTTTTAACATCAAGAGCCTATTCTATTGTATGACTAATCATACTTATTAATGGAATCATACCCATTTTCATATCAATAATATATTGTATGAGGAATGGTCTGGTCTGATTTTACAAAATAGAATCGTAGATTTCACTAAGTAAAATCCTGAGTATGATCCATAGTCTTGTTGTATATGTCGCATTGACCATTTTCATATGAAAAAAAGCAGAAAATTCTCTCCAGTATAGCTTTAGAGAAACTTTGTCTCATACAAGAGTAAGCGAGATCGATTGTATAAAGCCAAAAGTCTAACAAATGAAGAAGCCGCAAAAGAAGTTTTGGCAGGACATCTGGGTCTCAGTTAACTTAGTGTAACATTAACCAACATGAAAAGAAACCAAAATCCATTAGAAACATTTGATGGCAAGCTGCCATTGTTCTTTCTTTCGAATCAGTGCTTGTAACTTGGCTACTGCCGTTTCTATCTCCAACTTCTTCCTCTCTGGAAATGACGTAGACTTAATCATCATCCTTTTTACCACCGTCCCTTGCCTAATCAAACACGACGCCAAAGCAAACTCTTCCTCTGAAGAGCTGAAGTTATGCATCCACACTGTCTCCACTCTGAACTTAGCATTGGGGAACGGGTGGTCTTTGTTATTCTCCTCCCACAACTTGTTACGTGAAGACTCGCCTTCTTCCCTAGGAGAATTGTTATTCTCCACATACCAAACAACAGCGTTCATATATTAATATGTTTAGTTTAAAAAAAAAAAAATTGTAGTCAACTTAAAAGAATGAATCTACCGTAAACAAGATCTCCAGCTCTATCATTGTAAGCTTCCATAGATTTAAGACTTGTCTTAACCTTCCTACTTGTCTTGGACTCATTAAATCTAGACTCACCGACAAGGATGCAGTATGGAAGTGTCTAAACAAGTCAGATGTGGTGACCACAAATTCTTCATGTCCACTGTCTTTTTCCTCCTTGAGTTGTACGTCAAAATACCATTAATTATTTATACTTTTTTTGAAAGAACATATGTAAAATGTACACACACCTGTGATATGTTGTAGCTAGTGTGAGGATAGTATAACCCAGAAAGCCAAAAGTTCCTATAAAAACGGAGTCGAGGGCACCTGAGAACAAAGTCATCTCTCCCACAAGAGATCCTCCCGATGGCGAGAGAGTCCAGACGAGTTGATGACACTTGAATGCCATCAATCTTTTTGGTTTCAATCACTTGCAAGAGCTTCAATCTGTTGTTGTGAATCTTGAGAGGACCACTTTCTTTGAAGCAAGAAATGTCTAGTATAAGCACCTCCAGGGAAGGGCAAGATGCTAAGACACTGTTGAAAACTCCAACATCGGAGGCTAATATGCATGAGAGTTTGAGTGTTTTGAGAGTTTGGCAGTTGTTGAAAGAATGTGAGGTTACGAGCCCGTATCCGTGTAGCAAGAGTGATGTGAGGCGAGGATATGTGAATGAGTTTGGGGGAAAGTCGACAAAACCTCCAGGGTACATGTGTCCAGGATGGTGTCTAAGTGTGAGATGCTTTGTCTGTTTTACATGGGTGAGTGACTGAATCCAAGTATTCAACATCTCGTCTGTGTAATGGTCGATTACGCAGCTCTCTAGATGTCCACGGTGATTGTTTATAATCTTTGAAACAAAAATAAAATGGGTTAAGGCATGCATGCATGGTAACAATATATAGTAAAGAAGAGGATTTGAGAAAAAGGGAACCTCGGTGATCAATGTAGCAACCCTATTTGCAACATCAAGATTCTTACTGGCATTGATAGTCTTTCGCATGTCTAAGACTAAATTAGACAAATGTTTCCACACATGTTGCCAATGTTTGGACACAATACTCGTCCTTATTGCTTCTTCTGTGGGCAATCTCGTTACGATCATGATCAATAAATCTTTGGGGAGTTTGCTAATCCAGTCAACATTTTCTAATGACGATGATGATCTGTCCATATTGTATAGTTACGTCTCGAAACCTTTGAAATCAAGCCTCTCTGTAAGTGGTCTGAAACAAACAAACGAACAAAAAGCAAACCCAACATGAGTGTAATTAGCAGTGATGACACAACAATCACCGAATAATAAAACATACAAGCTTCACGAGCAGATATCCTTGCGGAATTATATCAAAGTTACTCACATCACAACCTAATTTTGAGAATTTCACATAAATTAAACCCAGAGCAGGGTCCTAAGATTTACCGGTCAATAATGTTTCATGACTGATTCTAATGGCATACAATGAGAGAGATTACCTCAGTGCAGTTTTACCTAAGAAAGCAAGGATGTCGATGGCAACAAAAGTGAAAGCTAGAGAAATAACTTCTCGTTGGCAAACAAAAAAAAACGAGCGCGTCAGAGAGTCGAAACTGAGAGATTAGAAGTGCATAACTGAAAACTTTATTGGCAAAAAGAATAAATCGACAAAGCTTTATGTGCAAGGAACAAAGAGTGAGAAAGAGAGACAGCAACTCTTTTGTATAATGATTAACTCTAGGTCTTGGCAATTTATCTGGACCCGGAAGCCCAAAAACCAGTTCCAAAAAGACACGAGTTCCAGGTAAAGGCAGATTGGGTAAAGAAAAATTAACATGTCGAATATTTTTAGGGTTAATTTTTGTGATAGCCAATTTTGAAAAGCAAAATTAAGAATATAAGATTGATGTTGACATAATTTGATCTTCTTATCATTTTTTTTTCTTTCAATTTTCTCCTTTTCTATAGCCACTTTGAACTCAGGTTGCACAATTAAAGGTGGGTCAGATGAGAAATAAACAGACGACTGAACTAAGGAATTTTATACAAACTAACAAATTTGGTAAAATATATTTTTAACATGTGACAGCTGCATCCCTTTTGTTTAAGGTAGATCCACCTCTGATTGCAGTAGTGGTGAATATAACATTCACGATGGTACTGGTAGTGTTATATAAATAGAATAGAATATGTTAAATGATATAGTTCATAGAAATTGAAAATACATCATTCATCCGACTTTACTAAAACAGTAAATTAATTAAGCTACAGAAGCAGAGATGTGTTCCAGCATGACCACCAATCACAGGAACGTTAACTTCTGCAGACAGAACAAGCATATATAAGAACTCAGACAACATGCAGCTAAGGAAATTTATGATTTTAAAACAGCTACAAGAACCTGCAACAAGGACATTAGCTTTTCCAGCATAGAAAGTCTTGGCCCTAACAACGTCAAGAGTGGTGACACCAAAAAACTTCTTCTCATCGTAGAGAATTTCACAAGTAAATTTTCATGTAAAAACAGAATTATAAATTAAATGAAAAATGAAAAAACGTTTTTATATCAAGAGATGCATGTACCTTTCACCAAAGTGTTTGTGCTAGTAGTCGATTGAAGGAGAGTATCAGTATAAACCTTGTGGCATCCAGGTTCCCCTGAGTGAATCACGCCGTTTTGTACTGCAAAATGCAGTGTTGATTCCCATAACCATGAACACTTTCTTCTTCGGGTTAGCTCCGCCTAAAGAGGAACCATCAACCGTCTCTTGTGAGGAGGTTCTTGTAGAAGAAGATAACTCCATTTGAAGCGTGGAAACTGACTTATCTAGCGACCTGTAAACACTCCAAAGAGACACACACATATAGATAGATAGAAAGTCAGAGAGAAAAAATTACTAGTATAACATCTCGATAAAAAGCTCAATTTGGCACTCACTGTATTGCTTCTTGAGTTTTCAAAACTTGGTTAATTACATCTTTTTCTTGTGTAGCTGTTACGACTAGGAATGAGAAAGCTTGCTTGTAAAGAAACTAAATGTAATTCCTTATCAAACAAGCTAATACAAACGCAGAGTTTTTACAAAGGAGTACTCTCTCTCCTATCACTTGATCGATCCTCTCTCTCGATACCTTACTCATTATTCATTACTACTCTTATACTAAACAAAAGGAATCTACACGTCACCAACAACCCATGTGCTCCCTCAAGTTGTTGCTAACGACTCTTATCCCTTCCCTTATTCTTTATTCTCTCATTCTTCTAGATGCTTCTAGATGTTTCTTACTCCACATAAGGTTGCTTCACTTCTTCTGACTTGGGCCTCTCCTCTTGTACTGATAGAGTATTGGTGGCCTAATGGACTCATACGTAACATTACCCCCTCCTTTCAAACTGACCTTGTCCTCAAGGTCAAGATCCGGAAACTGTTTCTCTATTACACTCTTCCATTCCCAAGTACAATCAGCTTCACGTAATCCTGCCCATTTCACCAGTACTTCCTCGTGGCCTGTACGTTCATTGACTCTGTGCGCTAACACTGTCTCTAGAGTAACTTCCAATACACCCTCTGATGTAAGCTGCGCAGGTATGGTTGCTGGTTCAAAAGACTCCCCCACCACCTTTTTAAGTTGCGACACATGGAAAGTAGGGTGAAGGCGGGCCTCTGGTGGTAAGTGAAGGCGATACGCGACCTTTCCGACTCGAGCAGCGACCTCATATGGTCCATAGAAACGAGCTGCAAGCTTTTCATTAGCCCTCCTTGCTAAAGATCTCTGCCTATAGGGTTGTAACTTTAAGAACACCTTTTCTCCCACATCAAACTCCACATCACGTCTGTGATTATCTGCCTTCGCCTTCATGGTCTGCTGTGCTTTCAACAATTGTTGTTTCAGTAAGGTGAGGTTATCATCTCTCTCCTGCAAGCGCACCTCCAGATCAGCATTGTTGGTAGAACCACTCGCATAGCGTAGCAGCAAAGACGGTGGTTCTCGGCCATACAGAGCTTGGAAAGGCGACATTTGAATGGCGAAGTGAAAAGAAGTGTTGTAACTGAACTCCGCCCACTGCAAGAACCGTGCCCACGTATGAGGTTTCTCCCCCGCAAAGCAGCGCAAATATGTCTCAAGACCCCTGTTAGTGACCTCCGTTTGCCCATCTGACTGCGGGTGGTAAGCAGTTGAGAAACAGAGACTGGTTCCAGACAAACGGAAAATTTCCTTCCAGAACTGACCGGTAAAGATCATGTCGCGGTCTGAGACGATCGTCTTTGCGAACCCATGCAGCCTGACCACTTCTTGTATGAATACCATAGCTACGTACACCGCTGTGAAGGGGTGTCTGAGGCCGATGAAGTGTCCGTATTTGGTGAGGCGATCCACTACTACCAGTACGGTATTGAACCCTTCAGACTTTGGTAGTCCTTCAACAAAGTTGAGAGAGATTTCTTCCCACACATCACTGGGAATGGGCAGAGGTTGGAGAAGCCCACCGGGTGCCAAAGTAGAGTACTTGTGTCACTGACAAATCTGACATGCCGCCACATACTTCCTTATGTCAGTCATCATTCCCGATCAGAAGAACAATACCCCAATCCTCTTTTGGGTTTTAAGAACCCCCCCCATGTCCTCCATACTTGCTATCATGGTACTCCTTCAACACAACTCCAACTAGACGAGATGTCGTTGGTATCACTAGCTTTCCCTGCCTCAGCAACCTCCCTTGCACAATGGAATACTCAGGATGTAACTGTGGGTCTTGGCGCAGGTCTTGGAGTATCTTAGAGAGCTCACTATCTCGCTCTACCTCAGTGCCAACCTCCTCCAATTGAATTGAAACCGGGACAGAAATAGCAAACAATTCCGTGATCGGATTCTTACGGGACAGAGCGTTAGCTGCTTTATTCTCCAAGCCTGGTTTGTAGTGAATGTCGAAGTCGAAACCCATGATTTTAGTTAACCAACACTGGTACTCCATATTAATCTCCCTCTGCTCCAGCAAGAACTTCAAGCTTTTTTGGTCTGTTCTGACCAAAAACTTCCTTCCCAGAAGATAGTGCCTACATTTCTGTATAGCAAATACTATTGCCATAAGCTCCCTCTCATACACATATTTGAGTTGTTGTCTCTTGGTTAACGCCTGGCTGAAGTATGCAATAGGTCTTTAGTTCTGCATCAACACTGCCCCGAGCCCTACTCCTGAGGCATCCGACTCCACCACAAATTGCTCCTTAAAACCAGGTAGAGCAAGTACAGGTACCGTAGACATTGCTTCCTTCAAGCGTTTGAAAGCCGTAGCTGCTTCTGGTGACCACTTGAACTGATCTTTACGCAGCAACAAGGTCAGTGGCCTCGCAATATCCCCGTAGCCTTGCACAAATTTCCTATAGTATCCTGTCAACCCCAGAAATCCCCTCAGCTCCTTAACTGTTCTTGGCTCAACCCACTCAGTCATCGTCTTTATCTTCCCATCATCAGCAGATAGTCCAGCTTTACTTATCACGTGCCCCAAGTACTCAATGCACGAGCTGCCAAACTCACACTTTTTCCGGTTTGCATACAACTCATGCTTTTTCAGCGCTTCCAACACCACCCTTAAGTGCCCCTCGTGCTCTTGCCTGGTCCGACTGTAGACTAAGATGTCGTTGAAGAACACTAACACGAACTTCCTTAAGTAGCTTCTGAACACCTCGTTCAGAAACGACTGGAATGTGGCTGGTGCATTCGACAACCCGAAGGGCACTACAAGAAATTCGTAATGTCCGTCGTGGGTACGAAATGCAGTCTTCTGGACATCCTCCGCTTTCACCAGTATTTGATGGTACCCTGACTTCAGGTCCAGCTTGGAAAACACCTTCGCGCCTTGTAGTTCATCCAGTAGCTGGTCGATCATTAGAATAGGGTAGCAGTCAGCCACAGTAACCTTGTTCAAGGCCCTGTAGTCAACGCAGAACCTCCAGCTTCCATCCTTCTTCTTCACCAACAAGACAGGGCTGGAGAAAGGACTACTGCTGTCGCGAATGATCCCTGCGGCAAGCATACTGGCAACCTGCTTCTCAATCTCCTCCCTTTGAGCCTGTGGATACTGATATGCTCAAATTAACCTTCAAGCTACTCTCTCAAATAAGAGGTTCGATGTAGTACTTGAGGATCGAATCCACAGAGACCAAATTTTACACTTTATTATTATAGGATCAATATTAAGCTAAAGCAATATGGGGTTTTAAAATAAAGAAAACGTAAAAAGCAAGTAACAAGTTGATTTGGGTTTCAGATTAAAGAGAATGCTAGCCTAGGGTGAAGGATTGGATGTCAAACGATCATGAGCCAAACATCTATTCAAGGTTTTATTAAGCACAAGTCTAGAACTCAAAAGACAAATAAAGATTGACCCACTCTCGTGGTATATCCCCTTTTAACAATCAGCCTTAATACCTAAACTCTCGTTTGGACTAAAACATGAAGGCAAACATTAAGATCAGATTCGATAAGTTCACAGCACGCCCTAACATCTACTTTCGCTGGTTAGGGACGAACTGCCCATTCAAGTTATTTCTAACAACCTAAAACACTTTTGATGAATAGATTAAACCTAGAATCAAGCACTAAGTAGCTAGTTTAATGCAGGCAGTAAGTATAAACATGAATGGAGACAATCATATAATGAACCTTATTTGTGTTTAGCTCATGGATCTAAACACCCTAACACCCTTAGACTAAGCAAGCTGACTACTCAGCCATGAACAGAGAAAACACAGAGACAATGGATGAAGAAAACTTTGCTGAATCAATAGATAAATAAGATAGGGTTCAGAGGGTTCTTCTCTAAATCGAGAGAGAAAGTCTTCTCCCTTTACAAAGTAGCAAAATCACAATAATCCAAAAGCTCTAGAGTTGTTTCTCTGTAAAAAGTAACGTAGTCTAATGTAGAAAATAGGAAAAGAAGATATATGGTGGCTGCTGGCGGCTGGGAGAGAAAAATAGGAGAATTAGGGAAATCCCGAAATATGTTGTATTTTCCTTAAAAATCTCGCGCCGCAGGAACATGCACTCGGGTTGCTCCGCTCGCTCGGGAACAGTTTGCAGACTGTTCTTCGTGAAAATCATCAAATTGCAATCTTTTTCTCCAACTGGTCCATCTTCCATCCAAAGAAACTCCATACCTGTAATGACTTAAAAATGACTAAAAAGACTTGATAAAGACTCAAAAACATTTTAGAAAACATTGTTAGAATATACTAAAAACACCATATATCAATTCCTCCAGACATAGATCCTTGTTTGTCCCCAAACAATGTCAAGTCTCTAGAACAGGAAGAAAGGTTTGAAAGTGTGGGAACTCTCTTATGGTTCAACAACCATACTTTAACCACGAATCTCTGAACCATACAAGAAGTAAAACTAGGACAACACACCCTTACCAAACCCCCACTGACCGCTGTTCAAACCGGCTCCATACTTTGTATCTCAGACCTGCAAAAGTTACACCTTCCAGACAAAACTCCTTACATTTAATTAAGAGTGGCGTGAGCTTCTCATCATAGGCATTATCAAGGGTAAACGGTCTAGGTGTGAAACATGTCTTTTAAGTGTTTAAGTGGAGCTAATCAGTATTTAGGTGTTACCATTTCCGCAGAGGATGCAGGATATCACACAAAATTGCAAGAGAGGATAAATCCATTGATGTCCACAGCCCCTACTCATTTTTGCCTGCTCTTCCCCTTGCACAGTTGATCCGATCAAACGTCTATTCTTCTTGTGGAACAGTCGATCATCTACATGGTCTTTATCTCTTCAACTTTTTTGC